TTTCAGATAAGTATACTGTGCTCAAAACTATTATATTCATACTCTTTATTTTATTTATTTATTTGTAATTGCTCGAAGGCATGTGTGCTTGACAGAGATGAGGTTTCAGAGGGACCCCTAAGTAGGTAGTGGTTGGTTACACCATAGTCCTTTTTCCTCCTGAATTCCTGTCTGGATTTTGAGCAAGCATGTGGGTTTGTTTGTTTAAGGTTTTTGCCAAAGGGCGCAGACATTCATTGGAGAAAGAGAGGGAAAGTGAGAAATCACCCCGGGGGGCATGACCACACTGCAGTCCTTTCTCCTGCATTCTCCTCTTGGGATTTGGGCAAGCATGCACATGCATTTGGTATGATTTTTTTTAAAAAAAAACGTTAGATCCAGAACTCAAACCACAGTCAGCCATATGGGAGTCTAGCCCCTTAACCACCACAGTACCTGCTGGGCCTGCACACAGCATGGTTTTTGAGCTATGGGGACTGAAATTCAGACCACCAGCCAGCCACATGAGATCTGGCTCCCTTAAATACTGGGCCCAGAGCAGGCTTGATAACCTTTACTTTAAAATGTAAAAATTAGGAGCCAGCAGGTAGCATAGTGGTTAAGGTACAGGACTCCCACATGACCGACCATGGTTTGAGTCACAGACCTCGGAGCTTGAAACTTGTGCTGACCTTGGGGGGGGCCTGTGTGCCCAAAATCCCAGGATGAGAAGGCATTGTGGTGTGGCCATCCACCTAAGGAGTCATTTCTTGCTTTCTCCCTGTGTTTTCAGTGAACACAACATCCTATAGCAAAAAATCTCAGTTAAAAAAAAAAAAATTCTAAATTAAAATTGCTGGGCTAGCTAATTAAGATGTCTTAACTTTTTTTAAAATTTATTTTATTTTATTTTTATTTTTTAATTTTTTTGAAAAGGTTTTGCTACAGGGCGTGTGCGCTCGCCAGACAGACAGAGACAGAGAGATAGAAAGCGAGAAATCACCCCCCAGGGGGGATGGCCACGCCATAATTCCTTCTCCATTCTTCTTTCAGGATCTTGGGCACGCACGCACACGTGCCCGGCGTGAGTTTACGCCACCGGATCCGGGACACAAACCGCGGTCGACTACATGGGAGTCCAGTGACATAGCCTTTACACTAACTGCTGGTCCCAAGATGTCTTATTTGTTCAGTGTATTAGACTTCAAAAATTCATGGAAAAGGCTTATTTTGGTCCAAAAAATCTGGAAATCCATGGATAATCTTTTCATCTCAAGCACTTTTTCATGAATTTTTTGAAGCGCCCCTCTCCCCCTAGTTTATTTGGTCACGTGCTTCCTGTCTTCTTGTGACCGAATCTGCCAGGGTTCTTCTGATCTCTTCCCTCCTGAGCTGAGCAGGATGACACCCAGTCCTGTCAGTAGGGGCTGTGAGACTGTTGACTGTGACCCGACTGCGTCACGGTACTGCAGGTGTGGGTTGGCTGCTGCCAGGTACTGGGGCGAAATACTCGCCTTTGAATGCCTCTGTTACACGGGCTGGTGGTGTGCGTTTCCAGCAGCCACATCACACAGGACACCAGCTTTCGGCCAGACAGCGTGCCTCCTCTGTTTTCTGTGAACTGCTTCAAACAGGAAAGTAGCCCTGTGTAAATTTTTGCATTTTAAACACAAATTCCTGTTGCTATTTCAGGCCTTTCCCACCTTTAAAATAATTTTGAAACTAATTTATCTGTCAGATTTAAACCCAACGTAATAATCATACTGTGAAGAAATTAAAGTCACTGTCTGAAGAGAGAGTTTTATCTTTTTTTTTTTTTTGAGAGAGAGAGAGAGGTTTTTGCTATAGGGCGCGTGCACTTGCCAGACAGAGAGAGAGAGACATAGAGACAGAAAGTGAGAAATCACCCCCCAGGGGGAATGATCACGCCACAATTCCTTCTCCTCCATTCTCCTCTCGGGATCTTGGGCACGCACGCACATGTGCCTGGCGTGAGTTCTAAGCCACCAGGTCCAGGATGCGAACCACGGGGGAATTTAGTGACATAGCCATTACACTAACTGCTGGTTCCCGAGAGAGTTTTATCTTAAAAACTAAGATAAATGCTGTTTCATTTTCTTTCATGAGCTCAGACATGTTCGTAATTTTTTTCTTTAGTGAAGAAAACCTTCAGTTTAGAGTCAATTGTAGTACTCTATGGAGAAGACAGCACTTAGCTAATTTAGAAGACCTGAATCAATCTCTGCATTCTTGTCTGTAAATTGGTGGCTGGGGTTTATGTGCAGTGATGAAAATTCTTTTTTTTTTTTAAAGGAGAGGTTTTTACTATAGGGCACATGCACTCACCAGAGAGACAGAGAGAGATAGCTACAGAAAGCACAAAATCACCCTCCAGGGGGGATGGCCGTGCCACAGTCTATTCTCCTCTTGGATCTTGGGCACATGTGAACAGGCGCCCCTTGTGACTTTTAAACCACCGGGTTCAGGACTCGAACTGTGGTCGACTATGTGGGAGTCCAGAGACGAAATCATTACACTGTGTGCTAGTCCCTAGTGATGAAAATTCTTATGAAACTGTTATGTGTCTGAAGAAACGGGACCTATTATATGGCATCTGAGTAGTGGAACTTGACAGAGAAAAGAATATGGCTACCTTGTTTTAAAAATTTGTCATATGAATGAATTAGGTTAAAAGGATATTTGTCTAAACTGCATTTTCATTATTTTTTTGCATTCTAAGAAGTGTCTAATGGGCAGCACTTTTGTGACACTAAGCAATGGAAAGTTGCTTATAAATAAGACAATATTATAAAGTATTTAATATCCTGATCAAAATACCTTACCAAACTTTGTGATTTTGAATAAGCTCTTTTTGAGTGAAACATTTTATGTAGTAGATGCTTTTAAAATTTTCCTGTCACTTTCAGAAATTTGATGTGTAATAAATATTTTGATGGGCTGTCTTCTCAGCATTGGTGGGTGATGAAGAATTTGAGTGATTTTTGTTTATTAAAGGTATTTCTTGACTGTCTGTGGCAGGTTGTATGTTGGAATGGTGCGTTGGCTTTTGGGTACGTTTAAAATAGGCCCTCTTTGTCAAGTTTTTCATTTTCATGGAATGTGAACCTTATGGCTAAAGCCTGGGGAAGAACTTGAAAATAATGGAGAACCTCAGTGTTGACCATGGTTTGGGTGGGTCAGAGAACTTTCTCATTTTTGCTATTTAGTGGTTAGGGAATGAACAGAGGCTCAGACACAGATTACAGACTGGCCTTACCACTGCACCTTGGCCAAGATACTGTTCTGAGCCCCGGGGAACTTATCTGTAAAAAGAGGCAATCATGACTTTCCTTTATACTGTGGATTAAATGAAGTAATATATTCAATGTGGAATGTGCTAAATGTTAGTATTTACTCTGGCCACTACCGTAGCAGAAGGAATTCTTTTGGATCAGGAACTAAAATATCTGTGACAATATGTTCTATTTATTGTTAGTTAAAACTAATAACATAAATAGTAACATAGAAGTTACATTGGCTGAGAAGGTACAAGACATTTTAAAAATTTATCAAGACTGTGAAGACCTTAGAAATGATGTTGATTTTTCCTCTTACCTATACTTTATTTAATTTGCCAGAGAACGCATGCACTATCCAGAGAGATACTCAGGGAGAAAGCAAGAAATCACCCCCTATGAGGAATAATCACACTGTAGTCTCTTCACTTCTCCTTCCATCTGGATTTTGGGCTTGGCATGCATACACACCCAGCATGTTTTTCAAGCCTTTGAGTACAGGACTCAAACTGTGCCATAAGGGATCCAGCTACCTTAACCATAATGCCATCAGCTGGCCCTAAGTGATGATGGTGGTGATGGTGGTTGTTAAGAGAGAGATTTTTGCTATAGGGTGTATGCTTGCTGGTGAGAAAGAGACAGAAAGCAAGGAACGCCCCCCCCTCCCCCCCGAAGGGATGACCACACTGCAATGCCTTCTCCTTCATTCTCCTCCTTGGGCATGCAGGCACGCGTTCCTGGTATGAATTTCAAGCCACTGGATCCAGCACTCAAACTACAGTTGACCATATTGGAGTCCAGCAATGTAATCACTATGCTATCTGCTGGCCCCCCTTAAGGTGTTTTTTAATGATCAGGGATGTTTTTTTTATAGAGAAACATAGGTTCTCACCCAAGATAAACATCTTTCGGCTCCATCTCCTTTACTGCATTCTAACTCCAGTATTTTGATTTCAGATTTTGACCCCCGAACATGCCCATAGTTACGTCTAGTATACGTAGACAAGATGAGTAAGAGGAAGTTAGGGGACAGATGAAAGCTGGGAACGGGAAGATGGCCTTGTCCTGGGTTTTCATGTTGTGGTATATGTTCTATCCAGTGACTATGAAATTGGACTTCAGGGTTAGAGAGACTTCCCGAATTAAACTCTCAGCCTTAATTCTTTGTAGCTGTGCAGCCTCAGGCAGATTACTGAGCTTTGGGTTTTTTTCATTTTTTAAATGATGATAACTAGTACCTCAAGGATGAAATGAGGTGATGTCTGAGAATATTTTCTCTGTGTTCTATGTATAATAGATGTTCAATGAATGATCATTGTTACTAGGATGTAACCGCCTGGACTTTTAGGAAAGAAAACTTTTTTCACCCATATTTTTAATAATTGCCAGAAGGCACATGTGCTTAGGGGTGGGGAAGCCTGCCCCCTCTCAACCAGGGCAGTGTCGTTACACTGCAGTCCCTCTTTCTCCTCTAGCTCCTGTCAGATTTGAGGAATGCATGCACACGTGCCCAGTGTTATTCTCTTAAGCTCCCAGGACCTGGACTCAAGCCGCAGTCGACTCTGTGGGATCTGGTTTCCCTTAACCACTAGGCCATGGGGCTAGCACTATTTTCATCTATTATTACTCCTCTATTACCTTCCAAACAAGTCATTCCCAAGTGTTAGTTGGATTATGTTTCTAAATTAAAGTTTTTCTGAAGAATACTTATTTAATTTTATTTATTATTATTATTATTAATTATTTTTCTAATTTGATCAGAGAGAGAGAGAGAAAGTGAGAAAACAAGCTTACCTGGTCCGGGACTTGAACCATGATTTCTCCCTCCTTTTGGGATTTTGGCCATGCATACATATGCACCTATCATGTTTCCAAAGTGTCTGGGTCCAGACATGCAGGTAGCCATGTGGGATCCAGCGCCTTAGTCACCATGCCACTGGCAGGCCTTGTATGCTACTTTCTGCCCACTGATAGTCATTGATGTCAAGCAAAATTACATTCGTGAATAGTACATACATCAAACCACATGTACATCAGCACTCCAGAATTTGTTTTCAGGGGGGTTAGCCACACTGCAGTCCCTTCTCCATTCTCTTCCCAGGATCGTGAGCATGATTTTCAAGCCAGTATGTCCAGGACTCAAACTACAGTCATCTACGTGGGAGCCCAGCAATGTAACTGCTACTTCATCTGCTGGTCCCAGCACTCCAGAATTGTGCATACCACTGACATTAGGATGACTGGCATGCGTTCAGAGTTTATTAAACTGACTTGGCAAACTCAAAAATTGTGCTTGTGTTTTTTGTGTTAATACTTAAGCTCCTTAATATGCTACATATCAAATCAATGTAATTCCATTTACTTGTATAAATATTAGCTTAGTAATATTTATCATATTTAATACTCCGATCATTTTAGAATTAATTTGGAGGCATTACATTATGACCAAATAGGGACATATTTTATGCTATTCTTATTGTCAGAAGATATAAATTGATAATTACAGGATGGAGGTTCAAGAAGATTTTAAAAACATACTGTGTTTTGCGTTTATTAAGTAGACATCCATAGCTTATAACAGCAGATTAAAAGGTAAGGCTAAAACTAGGCATTTTAGTCTTTATGCATATTGTGAACCTAAACTTCGTGTGACAACACAAGTGCACATGTAAAGCTACAGTATTTGTAACTCTCTTTACCAGTCTGTCACTCAAGCCCTATCAGAAGGTTGGTTTGAACTGGCTGGCGCTGGTACATAAACATGGACTGAACGGCATTTTGGCAGATGAAATGGTAAGTGTATTCTATTTCTAGGATTTCTCATTCAGTGTCCTTGCTGTCATTCAAAAAATGCCTCTGTGTTTCTCTGCTCTCAGTATCTTATCATTTCTCAACCTTCTCTGTTTTCTATTGCTTATTTTAGTTCCAGCCTCTTCACATCTCCCCAGTATGAAAAGTGGTATATTGTCTTTCCGATGATCAAATAATAAATATGTGTCAAAAATTAGACATTACCCCCCCCAAAAAAGTCACCCATCATTCTTCACCCATCATTCTATCGCAAGTGCTGGTTTAGTATATCTTTCTAAAGTTTTTTCTTCTGTAGAGGTGTGTGTGTGTGTGTGTGTGTGTGTGTGTGTGTGTGTGTGTGTACATGTGCATATACGTACATATAAATGCTTTTTCTGTAAAGTTTTCATTGTTACCCTAAGTGAGGTTTCGTTGTATGTGCTTCTGTAATGCCTCTTCAATTTCATGTAACTTAGATTCCTGTCTTTGTCAGTTAGTACAGCCACAAAGGGTCAGCAACATCATTTCCGTCTCTCTGAAAGAGAGACTAGCTCTCTCACTGAGTCTGATCTTTCCCGAATCACATTGGCTAACTCAGGAAGTTTCCTACAGGAGCTAATAGTCCTGGTATTGTCCTATAGCAAGCTGACCTTTAACATTTACCTCTCTTCTTCCAGCTTTACTTGAAGGAATACTTATAAAACATGAGTCATACTCAGTGGATAAATAGTTAAAGAATACATAAATATGTATTTGTATTGTGTATCAGACCGAGTCCCAGAATAAAAATGAACAAAAATAGTGATTCTTGTTTCCTAGTTAGGTTCTAAGGAAGGCGATTTTTAGTACTTTAAGACATATTCTTACACATCATATTATCATTAAAACAAATAATCTTTTTACTAATAGAGACATGAATAATATATACAGGATTTCAAAATGCTTGCTGAAATTAGATATATATTGTAATACAAAGCATTAAAGTTGTATGATGGGGCGCCAGCAGGTGGTGTGGTGGCTGAGGGTGCTAGATTCCCACACGACTGACCATGGTTCAAGTCCCAGCTCTGTTAGCTTTCTGTCTTTCTGATCTAACTGGAAATAATATTGATAAAGTCTAAAAATAATTCTTAAAAAATTTTAGAAAAAAAAGAAGTTATATGGTAGACTTGGGGATCAAACCTGGAATTTGGTCCTAACTTTGCTTTACACACTTTTTTTTTTTTTTTTTTTTTTTTTAGAGATTTTTTTTTTTTTTATTTAGAGATTTTTGCTGTGGGGTATGTGCACTCACCAGAAAAACAGAAAGTGAGAAATCACCCCACAGGGGGGATGGTCACACTGCAGTCCCTTTTCTTCCATTCTCCTCTCGGGATCTTGGGCACGCACATACACGTGCCTGGTGTGTGTTTAAGCTGCTGAGTCTGAGACTCGAACTGTGGCCAATTACATGGGAGTCCAGTGACGCAACCATTACGCCATCTGCTGGTCCCTACATGCTTTCTGATTGTTGCCAAATGACCTAATTAATTTCTCAGAAATAACATTATTAAAATGTAAGTTATTTCTCTACATAAGATAGTATTTTATCAAATGAGGTGAATAGTGTATGGAACTAGTTTGGGTAACCCATAAAGCAGAACTATTTATAGGTTGTTGGCTTAGTCAGCCAGCGCTGCTGTAACAAGATACTGCAGACCGAGTAGCTTAAGCAACAGAAATCAAAGTTCGAAGGCTGGATGTCCAAGGTCAAGGTGTGGGCAGGTTTGGTTTCTCTTGAGGCTCCTCCCCTTGGCCTGCAGACAGCCACGTTCTCACTGTGTCCTCACGTGGCCTTCTCTGTGTATGTGCATCTTCGGTCTCTTACAAGAAGCCCAGTCACTCTGGATTCAGTCTCCATCCTAATCGCTTCACTGACCCTTAATTTCCTCAAGGGCCCTATCTCAAAAACCGTCACACTGGGGAGTAGGGCTTTAATGTGTGTGTTGGGAATGGACACAGTTCAGTCCGTAAGAGATGGATAACATTTAGCTCCCTTAAGGAGCTAAACCTTTCAGTAGCCTTTGATTAAACCAGACTCCCACATTGTCACTAGACTCCCACGTTGTCGATTGTGGTTTGAGTCCTGGACCCGGCAGCTTGAAACTCATGAATTACATGGGAGTCCAGTGACGCAACCATTACGCCATCTGCTGGTCCCTACATGCTTTCTGATTGTTGCCAAATGACCTAATTAATTTCTCAGAAATAACATTATTAAAATGTAAGTTATTTCTCTACATAAGATAGTATTTTATCAAATGAGGTGAATAGTGTATGGAACTAGTTTGGGTAACCCATAAAGCAGAACTATTTATAGGTTGTTGGCTTAGTCAGCCAGCGCTGCTGTAACAAGATACTGCAGACCGAGTAGCTTAAGCAACAGAAATCAAAGTTCGAAGGCTGGATGTCCAAGGTCAAGGTGTGGGCAGGTTTGGTTTCTCTTGAGGCTCCTCCCCTTGGCCTGCAGACAGCCACGTTCTCACTGTGTCCTCACGTGGCCTTCTCTGTGTATGTGCATCTTCGGTCTCTTACAAGAAGCCCAGTCACTCTGGATTCAGTCTCCATCCTAATCGCTTCACTGACCCTTAATTTCCTCAAGGGCCCTATCTCAAAAACCGTCACACTGGGGAGTAGGGCTTTAATGTGTGTGTTGGGAATGGACACAGTTCAGTCCGTAAGAGATGGATAACATTTAGCTCCCTTAAGGAGCTAAACCTTTCAGTAGCCTTTGATTAAACCAGACTCCCACATTGTCACTAGACTCCCACGTTGTCGATTGTGGTTTGAGTCCTGGACCCGGCAGCTTGAAACTCATGCCAGGTGTGCCTGCATGCCCAAGGTCCTGAGAGAAGAGAGAGGAATTGTGCCATGGCCACCTCCGCAGGAGGTGATTTTTCACTGTCTCTCTGGCGAGTGAACATGCCCTATAGCAAAAATCTCTCTAAAAAAACCCCAGTATTTTGCTGATACCTGATTTACTTGCAGTAAGATGCACACATGTACAGCTTAGTGACTTTACACATATGATCACCACTCAGAGTAGATTCATAATATCCCAGATAATTCATTTTTTGTTTGTAAAGCATAGGGTAGTTTTACTATCCAGAAAGGGAGCTAACAGCACCCCCTCAAAGAACTTGATCAGTCACAGTTCTTTCTTCTCCATTTCTCCCATCCTGTTGGAATTTCTGGCACAGATGTTCAAGTACCTAATGTGTTTTTCAATATGCCGGGATCAGGATTCGAACCACATGGTTGACCATGTAAGATCCAGCTCCCTTAACTGCTAGGCTTCAGGACCAGCTGTCTCATGCTTCTTTCTAGCCATTCTTACCACCATTATTCTGATAGCTACCACTATGGCTTAATCATCTCTGGTTGTACAGTTATACAGTATACTCCAAATTCCTGGGACTCTTGGGGTACATAATGTTCCTGAGATTCTCTGTTCTTACTTATCTCAGCAATATGCCTCATTTTCATCACCCTGTGCTATGGGGGCCCATGGTCCAGATACGCTATAGTTTGTCTGTTCTTTTGTTGGTAGATGTATTACTTAGGTTATTTCCAGTATTTGGCTATTGAGAAAAACTACATAAACATTTTTGCCCAAGTTCTTTTGTGGACACATGCTCTCCCATCTCTTGTTTATATTCTTAAGAATGGAATTATTAGCTAATAGAGTAGGCATATGTTAGCTCAGTCATAGGGCAGCGTCCCCAGTCCATCCAGTACATGTTAAATATTCGCTGTACTTAAGCAGTACCCAGAATTATATTCTTGCTGTGCAGTGCAAAAAAGTCTTACATATTCATATGTGTCATAAGTGCACTAGCAACTACGATTCATCCCTCCTGCTCATTAAAGCAAATTATAGCATCGTTTGTCGTGTTGGCTTAATCCTGTCATTGGAGAACCAAGAACATAGTAGAAATTCTTAGAGTTGCATTATGAGAAATAAGAAATGAGGCCAGCACAGAAAGACTCCTTCTTCTGTATTCTTTTTTTTGGGGGGGAGAGGTTTTTGCTATAGGGCGCGTGCGCTCGCCAGACAGACAGAGAGAGACATAGAGACAGAAAGTGAGAAATCACCCCCCAGGGGGGATGGCCACGCCGCAATCCCTTCTCCTCCATTCTCCTCTCAGGATCTTGGGCATGCATGCACACACGCCCAGCGTGAGTTTTAAGCCACCAGGTCCGGGACGCGAACTGCGGTCGACTACGTGGGAGTACAGCGACATAGCCATTATGTTAACTGCTGGTTCCTTCTTTTGTATTCTTAAATATTTACTTGCTGTTTACTTTAAATTTACGTATTGTCTTTTACATTTTCAATTTTTAGGGTCTTGGAAAAACTATTCAAGCCATTGCATTCCTGGCATACCTTTATCAGGAGGGCAATAAAGGTCCTCACTTGATTGTTGTTCCGGCCTCAACAATAGGTTTGTAACACTGGGCACAGTTCTGTTTGACTTCATAGTGTGTTATATAAGTAGGAGAGAGCAAGCGAGTGTGTGTGTGTGTGTGTGTGTGTGTGTGTGTGTGGATTTTAGTTTGAAGAGATGAATATTAACTTTTATGGTTCTCTTAGGCTTTTTGCCTATATATGTATGTGTATGTTTGGTTATATTGCCAATCTTTAAAAGAAAATAAATAAAAGTCCATTCTTGTTTTTAAATTATTACAGAGCAAGGACCATTTATAAGATTATTTTTGTTTCATAATGCTTTTGAGTTATTTTAAGTGCTTATGAATTTATAATTAAACACTTAACTGAATCAGAAAGTATATAACTAATCCCTGATACAGAATCCCTTTTCTTTTTTCTAAAGAATTATTTATTTAATTTTATTTATTCATTCTTTTATTTTAATTTGACCGAGAGAGAATGAGAGGGAAAGCGAGAAAGCAAGCCACCGGGTCCGGCACTCAAACCATGGTTGGCCATGTGGGAGTGTCCAGCACCTTGTCCACCATGCCACCTGCTGGCCCTGAAATCCCTTTTCTTAATCAGAGTACCATTCCATTCTTTGTCAGTTGACTGGAAGTTAGAGTAAGAAAATGTTTATATATAGGAAATGTGACAACAACAAAAACCCCATCTCTTAACATTGGAAGTTAAAACCTACCTGTAACTAACAGTTGGTCTTGTCCCTTTCATTTTGCTGACTCCTCAAAAATGTCAAGATAATTTTAATCATGAACAGTCATATTATGAAGAATTTGTGATTAAAATTTGTGAATCACGTTTACATTTTGTGACGGAGCAATGAACAGAACTTGTCAAACTTTATCTCAGCCAATGCAAGTAATCTCTCTCTCGTTTTATAGATAACTGGTTAAGGGAAGTTAATTTATGGTGCCCCACTTTAAATGTGCTCTGTTACTATGGTAAGAATATATCATTTTATTTTTAACTTTGGATATTTCTGTAACGTTAAAATATAGTAAAGTACAACAAATACAGTCAAAACGTGTATATTGTTTTTAAATTTTAGGTTCTCAAGAAGAACGGAAACAAATTAGATTTAACATTCATAGTAAATACGAGGACTACAATGTAATTGTGACCACGTAAGTGTTGAGAAATTGGGGAGGAGATCTGTGCAACCCGCAGCGTTTTGTAGTAGTAACACGTAGTAAAGTTTATGCTGTGAACTGGGTAGCAAAGTAATGGGATATTTATGTCAAGGATTCAGGTGGTTTTCTTTTTAGTTTGTTTTGTAATACTAATATTAGAGATTTTTTGATTAGTATATCTGCTTACTAATGGTGGGCATTAAACAGGTTTTCTCCTCTTAATTTAAACATAGTATTATAGTAGGACTTTGCTCACTTAAATTTAGTTAAATATGTGATAACCCTTGAAAATTACTTACATTTCTAACTTGAAGTAAGTGTTTAAAATGCAGATAATGCAATGTTATTCTCTCAATGGAAAATTAGAATGGAAATGACAAATACAACTTTTTTTTAGAGAGAGTTTTGCTATAGGGTGTGTGCACTTGCCACAGAGACAGAGAGATAGAAAGTGAGAAATCACCCCCTAGTGGGATGGCCATGCTGCAGCGCCTTCTCCATTCTCTGCTCGGGATTTTGGGCACACACACCCGTGTGCCAGGCGTGAGTTTTAAGCTGCCAGGTCTGTGACTTGAACCATGGTCGACTACATGGGAGACCAGTGACGTAATCATTAATGCTCTCCGCTAGTCCCGACAGGTACAACTTTGAATAAGTTAATCACAGTGACTATCATTAACTTTCTAGCAGAGAACTTAATGCTCTATGTTTCATTTGTTCATTTATTTGTTTATTTTAATTTTTGCTGGAGGGGCTGTGTACTTAGTGGAGAAAAGACAAGGAATGAGAAAATGTTCTTTTGTTATACATTGCAGCTTTCATAATTTGATTACACGTACATCAGTGGTTATTAGATACAAATCTATCAGTATTGAGTACCAACTGTTACCTGCTGCTTTCCTTTTTGGTACAGGCTATTAGAAATATATAAGTAAAAGTAATTTTTACGAACATTAAATTTGGGCCAGACAGGTGGTACAGAAGGAACCCAGCTGACCCACACGAGAACATCCCGAGTTCACATCCCGGGTGGGGCCTCCCTCTTCACACTGGGTACACACACTTGTGCTCAGGATTCAGGCCAGCTGAGGCTGGCTTGGGTTGTGGCGTGAGGACTTTGGGATGGGGCAGGGGAGGGACACTACTTGTCTCCCCTTGTTCTCCTCCTCAAAAATGTAAAAAATCAAAAACCAAAGCACCGAATCTCACTAGGCTCTGAGTTCGTGCAGATTTCACCTGCAGTTCTGTTTTCTGCCGGCAACAGATACAACTGTGCGATCAGCAGTTCTGATGACCGCAGTCTGTTCCGACGGCTGAAGCTTAATTACGCCATCTTCGACGAGGGCCACATGCTGAAGAACATGGGCTCCATCCGCTACCAGCACCTCATGACGATTAACGTAAGAGCCCTGCGAGTGCTCCCTGCTGACACGGTTTAGGGTCTGTGTTTACTGCACGTGGTATCAGGGTCAACAGACTTCTCTGTGAAGGGCCAGATAGTAAATATGTCATGCTTTGTGGGCCGTAGAGTCTCTGTCCCACTTGGATTTTTATTGCTTTAGAAATGTAAAAACCAGGGGCCAGCAGGTGGCACGGTGGTAAAGGGCACTGGACTCCCACATGGCTGACTGTGGTTCAAGTACTAGACCTGGTGGCTTGCTTTCTCACTTTCTTTCTCTCTCACTCTCTCAATCTCTCCCTCTTACTCTCACTTTGTCCCTCTCTGGTCAAATTAAAATAATTAAGTAAAGTTAAATAAAATGGTTCTTTTTTAAAAAAAATATAAAAACTGTTTTTGGGTTATAGCTCATGAGCCACGATTTACCAACCCCTGTTCCATGTGATAAACGTTATAAATGTCAAGTACAGTTTTATCTGCTTTCATCACTTCATAAAGTGGTATGAGGACTCAAGTTACCTCCTTACAAATAAGATTCTTACAAATAAGTAGATTTCACTCTCTACTTTAGTTATAGTGTTGGGTTGTCAGGAAAGTGAAGATACATGTTTGTACTAAAATTTAGCATTGAAAAAATACGTCATGACTTTAAAAACAATTTTTTTTGAGAGATTTTTGCTATAGGACATGTGTGCTAGCCAGAGAGACAGAGACAAAGAGAGGGAAAGTGAAAAATCACCTCACAGGGTGATGGACCACATCACAATCCCTTCTCCTTCATTCTCCTCTTGGGATTTTGTGCACGCATATACATGCACCCAGCATGAATCTTAAGCCGCCAGGTCTGGGACTTGAACTGCGGTGGACTGTGGGTGTCCAGCAACGTAACCATTACACCATTTGCTGGTCCTTGTCATGACTTTTCTGACAACCCAGTAGATGATAATAGCAGATACTAGTTTGTCTAAATTATTAGGCTTTCTTCACAGAATGTTATATTAACAATTTTTTTCTTTTTGAGAGAGATTTTTGTTATAGGGCACGTTCACTTGCTGCAGAGACAAGAGAGACAGAAAGAGAGAAATTACCCCATGGGGGGTGGCCACACCGTAGTCTCTTCTCCTCTGTGTCTTGGGATTTGGGGCACACATGCACAAGAGCTGGATGTGAGTTTCAATCCGCCAGGTCTGGGACTTGAACCATGTGGGAATTTAGTGCCTTAACCACTATGCCACCTGTTGGCCCATTATTAATGATTTTAATTCCTCTGCCTACCCCCTGCCCCTCACCAAGAAAAATAGCCATGAAGGGAATAGCTCTTTTAAAAAGCACTGATCTAGGGACCAGCAGGTGACATGGCTAACCACAGTTCAAGTCCAGGCTTGCTTTTGCATGTTCCTTCTTTCTTTCTGTCTCTCTCTCTCTAGTGAACACACCTATGGTAATAATAATAAATAAATAAATAAAAATTAAATAATTTTTTAAAAACCACTAATCTAAATTTTGCCTTCATTCACAGGCAAATAACCGTTTGCTGCTCACAGGCACCCCTGTACAGAACAATCTGTTAGAACTCATGTCCCTGCTGAATTTCGTCATGCCACACATGTTCAGCAGCAGCACCAGTGAAATACGGAGAATGTTCTCTTCGAAGACAGTAAGTAGATAGGCGTCTTTTGTCCTGAGTATGTTACTTCGTGTTTGACCTAGGCTATGTCTTTTTCTGTTTGGTCTTTCGTTGTTGTTCTTTTCTTCGTATATATGCTCTGTGAAATAATTTTAAATACTTGATGTCTCTATATTTGGATCAGTTTAGTAATTAGCCAAAATATAATGAAGAAAAAAGTTGGTGACTTCTGTAATCAGTGTCCAAAAGTTTTGGTTTCTAATGTTTCGGTTTTCTGAAGAATGACAATATTAAGTTGATAAAGAGGTCAGACATACAATATGTGGGGATATCTGTGTTGTTGCGTCTTCTGTATCGAAGTCAAACAGGTAAATTAGCATTGCTTTATGTGTAAATTGTAGAATTGGACAAAGCTGAAACATCCCGAAAAATGCTTAGACTGGGAAATACACTTTTTTTTAGAGAGAGAGATTTTTGCTATAGGGTGCATGTGCTCACCAGAGAGACAGAAGCGAGAAACCCCCCCCCCTGGGGGGAATGGCCACACCGCAGTCCCTTCTCCTCCATTCTCCTCTTGGGATTCTGGGCACACACGCACATGTTCCTGAAATGAGTTTTAAGCTATCAGGTCCAGTCAAGTACCTGGGAGTCCAATACGAAACCATTATGCCATCTGCTAGCCTTGGGAAATACACTTTGTAATAAAAGTCTAAAAGTTATAGACGTAACAAGTGTTTTTGTTTTGTTTTGTTTTGTTTTTAAATAAGAGAGTGAGAGGGAAAGTGAGAAATCACTTCCCAAGGGAGATGAGCATACCTCAGTCATTTTTCTTAGATCTTGGGCTTACATGTTTATGCACCTGGCATAACTTTCAAGCCACCAGGTCTGGGACTCAAATCACGATCAGCCATATGGGAGTTCCGTAACGTGACTGTTAGGCCCTCGTCTGGCTCCCCCTCCCATTTATACTTATTGTCATGTAAAACCTCTGTTCTATCTATTTTTAAAATTTATTTTATTTAACTTGATTTATTCATTTAATTATTTTAATTTGACCAGAGAGGGAGAAAGAGCAAGTTTGAAAGTAAGTCACCAGGTCCAGGACTTGAACCATAGTTAGTCATGTGGGAGTCCAGCACCCTTAGCCACCATACCACCTGCTAGCCCCAAAACATGTTCTCTTTTTGTGGTCATGCCATCTGATTATCACAACTGTCCCTCCTTGGCAATTTTGGGGTTATTTTTAGAGAGAGATTTTTGTTACAGGGTGAGTGCACTCACCAGAAAGAGACATAGAGACAAAAAGGTACAAATCCCCTGGTGAGGGGATGGCCACGCTGCAATCTCTTCTCCTCCAGTCTCCTCTCAGAATTCTGGGTACATGCACACACATGTACCTGGCGTGAGTTTGAAGCCGCCATGTCTGGGACTGAACTGTGGTCGACTATATGGGAGTTCAGCAACATAACAATTACCCATCTGCTGGTCCCAGTAACAAATTTTTAAAAGTAAAGAAATTCTTTAAGAAGAAAAGTTTGGTTAATTTTCTTCTTTCTTACTTAGAGAAACCGTAGGATTGTCCACATTTTTCAGTATCGTTGTGTCCGTATGTATTCTCAGCTCTGTCCTCGATCATATATCATGTGCAGAAATTTTTCTGCCATACACCTCTACTGCAGATGAACTGCCTTCTTAACGTTTACTGATGAATTCCTTCCTACTTGTTTTTTTTTTTCCTTCAAGAGAGTTTTTTGCTGTAGGGCACGTGTGCTCACCAAAGACACAGATGGAAAATGAGAAATCATCCCCTGGGGGTAAGGCCACATTGCAATCTCTTCTCCATTTTCCTCTTGAGATTTTGTGCTCGCACACATTCAAGCCTGGCTTGAGTTTTAAGCTGATAGGTCTGGGACTCAAATTGTGGTCATCTACCTGGGAGTCAGCAATGTAACCATCATGCCATCTGCTGGTCCCATGGTTTTTAAATTGACTTAACAGATCTTATGAACTCCATTTCTAGTATATAGGACTCCTTAATATCTTAGAATAAACTCCATTTTTTAGTTCTCCGTAATCACCAGTTCTAGCCAAGCACTGTCTATTTTAAGGCCACATGATTTGCATCAACCTGCACTAGCTTTCTTTTTTTCCATGAAAAAATAGAAGTTTTGGGACAAGCAGTTAGCATAATGGCTATGTCGTTGAACTCCCATGTAGTCTACTGCGGTTTGAGTCCCAGACCCGGTGGCTTAAACTCACTCCAGGCGTGTGTGCATGTGTGCCCAAGGTCCCTAGAGGAGAATGGAGGAGAAAGGATTGCAGCGTGGCCATTCCCCTTGGGGATGATTTTTTGCTCTCTGTATCACTGTCTTTCTGGCAAACGTACGTGCCCTCTAGCAAAAATAAATAAATAAATAAGCTCTCCAAAAAAAAAATAATGCAAGTTTTATATTTCTCCCTCTCCTGCAGTCCCGTGAGCACATGCATATTTCAGCTTGAGAGTTTCTTAGGAATCAGTTACTGAACCATCACTTGGTTACCTTTAGTCACCAACCTAGTACAGTTTAAATCGTCACAGCAGCAGGTCAGGAAACCCCAGAATGCTAGAAGTGGGTTGCAGCCATGCAAATGTGATGTTCCCTCTAGAATGGCGTTTCTGTAGAAAGTAACTAAGCTGCTGGTGAGGCTTCATGTCGTGTAATACTGTTATTTATGATCATTTAGATGAATAACTTCTAAAAGACTGTGTTGTATTTTGCTTAGAAATCAGCAGATGAACAAAGCATATATGAGAAGGAGAGGATAGCACATGCCAAACAAATCATAAAGCCGTTTATTCTCAGAAGAGTGAAAGAAGAGGTAATTCTTACCTGCATGTTTTGAACTGATTGTGAGGATTCTGTTTCCCCTAAAATGACAGTCTTCAACTGTTTTCCTTTCTCAGGTTCTCAAGCAGCTGCCTCCCAAGAAAGATAGAATTGAGTTGTGTGCGATGTCCGAGAAGCAGGAACAGCTCTATTTGGATCTTTTCAACAGATTGAAAAAATCGATTAATAACTTGGGTATAACCTGATTTTTCCAATATTATGTGAAAAATAATCTTGTATGGGCTACATTTTGAATAGTCATATGATAATGGGATTTGCTCAGTTAAAAAATTAATTAGATTTTGAAAAAATAATATTAAAAGTTTTTTAAGTTGAGGTATTTCAGTATGAATCTTTTTAAAATATGTACTCTTTGGTTCACAGAAAAAAACACAGAAATGTGTAATGTTATGATGCAGTTGAGAAAAATGGCCAATCATCCTTTACTACATCGCCAGTATTACACTGCTGAAAAACTCAAGGAAATGTCTCAGCTTATGCTCAAAGTAAGGATTTCGTGTTATGCAAACACTGAGCTCTGTTAACACTACTGAGTTACAGTCAGGCTCCCGAGCCCCATGGGCATATTAGTCCTTTAACTCTGCATTTAAGAACATTTTTAAGACAAAAGTGGAAAGTAATTTGGGGGACATAAGAGCCAAGAAGAACTGGTAATCTAGGTTAGGGATCAGCAATCTGTGACCAGTCTGGTTTTATTTTATTTTTTATTTTTTAATTTTTTTAAATAATTATTTTATTTTTATTTATTCACTCATTTTTTTTTTTTTAATTTGACCAGAGAGAGAGAGAGAAAGAGAAAGCGAGAAAGCAAGCCTCCAGGTTCAGGACTTGAACTGAGGTTGGCCATGTGGGAAACCAGAACCTGTAACCACCATGCCATCTGCCGGCT